TGTCAGGAAGGATTCTTGCCTAGCTTCTGAAGGAAGTGACTCGGAAGACATGTGCTACCAAGCAAGCATCCTCGCGATTGAGAAACGGTCTCGGACTCTCTAAAGTACCTCTCCTCTGAGCAGTCATTTTAAAGAGACGTCCATTAATGATGACAGGAGGCACAGCAGCACTCTGATGGACAGCTGTGTTCCGTTCTTATTATACATCCATGATGTGTTCATGACGACTTATATATATTTACTTTTAATTCATTAACAGTGCGGTATAATGAGACAATAACAGGCTACAGATGCGGACATGTACACACACACACATATATTTATATAAATATATACAATTTTAGAATCAAACAAGTATGAGAGCACTCTCATAATAACGTAGCACAATCAGAGACTGGATATATCCCCCCCCTCTCTCTCTGGTCGCTGAAACGGGGAATTGAAATTACGGGCCAAAAGTTGTACAAGTATTAAAAGTATATGACACCAAACCAACTGAGGCCCGTCTGTCCGCCGCATCTACGCACTGTACCACACACACACCTACACACTGTACCACACACACCTACTGCTCCTAAAGCATAATCAGGCTACAGCCGTTGTGTATTTTATTATGTGAAGCACTAAATTAGAAAAGGTCTTAGAAAAATATCGACTCTTTGTTTGTAGATATCTACTAAACTACAGCATACAAATACAGAAAGTAATGTAGGCCTGTTATACTGAGTGATATATATTTTACACACTGTTCTGCTTTCTGCACGGACCTCACAGCTGTTCTCACTGTAAACATCGCTTCGCGATGAAAGCAGTTACTAAAATAATATCCAGGGGATGCATGCAGAGCTGTCATTGGCTGAGATAAGTCCGGCCGTGCGTCACGCCTCCACCGTTCCCGGAAATGCATCCATGGAGGATGCATCAGTGTCTCCTCGGTTAGAGCTCCTCCAGAGAGCCTCCTCGATGCTCGATGCTCGGTCCTCGAAGTGCATTTAGAGAAATGAGATGTCCTTCAAAATGGCGCGCTGAAATTCATTTCCGGGTCACTACCGGAGGACTGAGGAGTCGAGGAGTCGAGGAGGGGAAATTTGAGTATTGAGAAACCTCTCATATTTGGATTCGATGAGATTGTGCAGGAGAGACACAGCTTTCCGATATCTCTGTTGACATGGTGCACACAGCGGTCGTGGTAGAATGCTAACTTTTGGTGAATTTAGGAGAAATCTACAGACGCAAATAGACAAACTATAGTAAGATAAACACTTAAATGTGTATTTTGTACGTTTTCCTTCCAAAAGCCTGAAAGAAAACATGTTATAGAATCAAAATAGCACAAAATCTCAAAATTGACCAGTACTTGAAAAACGATGTTTTTGCCTGCCACGTGTCTCGCCTTAACGTGGAAATCCTGCAGGACACAAATGCCTCGTCTCTGTTCCCTTAATTTGGGAGTGATTACCCTTCAGCCCCGGGGGTGCAGAGGAAAGGCAGCGTTACCCCCCGTCTGCACGTTGTTTCTCTTTCAGAAACACAGAAGACTGTTTGTATGATGCGATCACAGACACGCTGCAAACGGTGTCCGCCAAAAGTCGAGTCCAGTGTCTATGGAGTGTCATTTTTATTTGTTATAGTTTGGGAAGATTGAAAATCGGTAGGGAAAGCCAGCTAAGTCGGTAGGCGGTAGAAACATGTCAAAAGCGGTAGACTACCGCCCAAATCGGTAGGGTTGGCAGGTCTGCATACGTCATGATACGGGAAGTAAACAAACCAGAGAAGCAGTTGTCATCACGCTCATGAGACCTCACATCCCGTGCCATGACAGCTCGTGCAGGTTTGTTATTATTTATTTTATTGATAGCTATGGACAGATTTATCTCGGAAAGGATGACGCTTCATTACGCAGGACTTTGCACTGTGCCTGCGATGTGCTCTGCAAAGTTGTAACGTTAGCTAGCTGGGTCCTAGCCAAACGCAAGACAAACATGTACCAATTTAAGGTAGTCATGATTATTGGCAAGAAGGCACACTTTACACGACATTACTACAGACCTCAAACAAATGCTCAGAATGTTTTCTTCGTTTCGGCATGCATTCAGCACACCAAAAAGCCACAGTTTTATTTGATTTTGATTTATAACGCCCCGCCTTACATCGAGTCCTGTTCCACTAGTAATGAATTAACACCAGCGTAAAAGTGAAAGGTGTAGACGGAGCAGGATTACAACGTCAAATTAATCGCAACATAGATATAATTTGGAAATATATTGTTCCATTTCGAAACATCTGTGTGCAGTTACGTTCATCTATTGCATATAATGGAGCCACATCTCTTAAAAAACATGTTTTCCCGACGTATACGCCATGCCAGAAACCCCGAGTAAATGGTCAAATATGTAAGTGGAGTTTGGTGGCGCGTTTTATCAACCAACATGATAGCGATAGGACTATACTAATTCAGACACGTTAGGTAAATGGTGGGGTTATAATAAATGATAAATACAGTCTAAAAATAATAAATGTGTGCCAAATACAGGTTGTGCTAATGTATAGTCAAGCTAATACACATTAGCTGCCGAGACAGCTATCATCAATATTTGCACAATTTTTTTTTTTTAGCTTTGCAAAGGCTTTCCATTTAAATTAGTTATTTATGATCAATGAGGCCAACCGAATGTCTGGTAAGTGTGCAGCACGAGGTATTGATAAGAAATTCGCGTAAAATGAAAAATCAACTGTTATTACAATTTATAAAACACATTCATAATAAAGACTATTTCAATTTACAAAGTACACATTCGGGTAGAAAATTAGCCTAGTAGCAGCAGCAGCAGCAGCAGTATTTATAACATAAAGTGTAACATGTAGAATGTAGTGTGGTAGAAGCTAGATAACAGAGATACTTACAGAGTCTTGTTACAGCATTTCACTTGTCAAACAAAGAAGAAAGCCAGTAATAACTGGCAATATTTACATTTAAATAGGTACATATTGCATAACAGTGATGTCTTAGTCTTTGTTTAGCTAAATTTGTCTTTAATAAAACTATCAAGCATGAGTAGTAGTTGGTTTCTGTGGTTTAAGGAAAATAACTTAAAACATGCCATTTGTAGGCAACACTGTTCTCATAATTCATGAAAAACTAGTTTGAGGAAAAGCGGTCAGTAGAAATTACTTGATGTCACTCTCTTTAGCCTAATTTAACTTCTTCAGATTCTGTTTTTAATATTATACATAATCTGTATTCTCTATTTTTTTTGACATGTTGCTCTGGCATGAATGATCTCCAGATCTCCCATTGAGGGTGTCAAACCGGACAGTAACCCCCGCAGTGCCATGGCTGAGGTGTTAGGACATAGGAGCTTGTTGGGCTTTGGTGTTGTGTTGGCATGGCTGGTGCTGTTCCACCTGCTGGTCAACATCTGGCTGCTGTGCGTGTTCACCAGCCTGCTGGTGGTGCTCGGGGGCTGGCTCGGGTCACAGGCCGTCCTGGAGTCCAACAGTGTGGTTCACCTGGAGAGGTTCATCACCATGGAACAGGTAAATGTGAATTTGACTTCCCGTGTTTTAAGCAACGGTGTATTATCACTCCAGTATTACATAATTTACACTTTGTCCTCGCTAAATCATAGGTTCCACCAACTGTGGAGGATGAGCACAAATTGGACCAGGAGATTCACAACACTGTGAGGAAAATCATCAGGGACTTTGTCACCTCCTGGTACTCCACTGTGTCCTCTGAGAGTGGGTTCGAAACAGAGGTTCAAGAGGCTATGATCTCTATGGCCATGGAACTGAAAATACGTGCTAGACAGCTCGACAGGAAGGTAATTTGATTCAAGACATCATTGTTGGAAAAAAACCGATTAGGTTGATTTTGATAAATGTTTAGGAGGTTAACATGCTGTCGATACTGTCAATGTATGAATAGAGTTAGGTATTCAGGGTTTTATGTGGCTTCCCTGCGGATACACCACTAGTTATGTGTATTTCATATCAATTTTAAATAATCAACGCGTTTTAATCAGATGCACAAGGCCACATCTGTCTGTTCTGACTATGATCTCTTTAATCGTGATTACAGCTTTTTGCGTCTGTGTGGACATTAGCTTTTATTAGCTCATTGAAACATTTAATGTTTCTCTTTCAGTCTTATTTAAAATATTTTAAGATGCCTGGGGAGCTGATTATTTAAAAGAAAACTTAGTGTCAACAGTTCCTTTTAGTATCGGCTTAGTTGGAAACATTACAGTAATTATAATTTCAACATTTTAAACTACCTATTTCTTTGCATCAGCAAAACACCATTTATACTTTCTTACATCCACCTTATATTGCTTTTTTTTTGTAAACGCATTTGATATTAAAACACATTGAACCATGTTCTTTAAAATGAAATTAGAGGAAAGGAAAGAAATACCTAAACACATTAATTTGTATCAACTACAGAAGTCTAATCATTGACAGTGTATTGCTAAACGCCATGTCTTCTGCTTATTATATTTATATATACAGTATATATATATACAGTAGTGTGTATATATATATATTATGATATTTATAAAAATAGTTCTATCATGCAACAAAGAGTTTTTTGCAGCTATCAGACAAAGAATATATCATGTGTATATCATATATGCTGTATATTGCACAATAATGGTAACAGATAACAGAAACTGTTACCAGATTAACTAGATAAAATTATACTGGTTTTATATTCTTTTGGATGACTTCAGGAGCTGACCCAGAGGATCCTGGATCTGTTTGGCTGCCACCTGCAGGACTACATCAGAGCCAAAGAGCTGCTTACCGAAACGCCTCGGACAGCAAAGTACAGCGGTGAGAGCGAGCAGCTGTGGAAAGCGTATTCCATGGTTACCATGCCTCATCTCGCCATGAGCAGTGACACGATGGAAGTCAACTACACCAGAGCGGTCACAGATTTGTTGCTGCATGTTTTGGTTCCTCCTCCTCACTTAGAGACCCGTACCGGCCGCTTCGTTGTTGGAGAACTAATCACCTGCAACGTTATGCTCCCTCTCATTGCTAAACTGTCGGACCCGGACTGGTTAAACTTTCTCGTGATCGGCTTATTCAACAACTCCTGCAAACCACAGGAACCAATTAAATCAGAGCTACTTGCTTCATCCCCATCTCTACCACCACCGCCTGCTGAATCCGAGCTTGCTCCACCGCAAGAGACCACATACGTTCCCCAGAAGAATAATGAAGTTTCTGTGACTGAAGCTGTCAAAGATGCAGAGATGGCCTCGCCTGAGCAGGCAGCCTATGATGTGATTGACTCCGAGGAGATGAACGAGAATATAACTGAAGAAGAAGAACCCACTCTACCCTTTTTGAGGCGTTTCACGAGAGGAACCAAGTCAAACCCATTTTACCAGGAGAACGACTCTGACCTGGACTCTCCTTCCGCTGACTATAAGCAAAGTTCCATTGATTCCCTAGTCATGATCAGCCCAGAAGACAACAGTAATGGTGGGGACCTGGAGGATGTTTGCCCCAGTCCAGTGGATGGTTCTTGTCCTAAAGTCCTGGTGAATTCTGAACCGGTGGGGCATCCTTATGATCTGTCGTCAGGTAGGATGGCAGAGGGGACTCCTGGTAATGGTAGACTTCAGGACGTGGACAAGGAGGGCATTTCTCCTTTAGTAAATCCAGCCAGAGAGTTTCTTCTGGGACTAGAGACCCCTGGGTTGGGGAATCCCAATGAGCTGACTGTCAGTCCGTTACAGGGCTCCTCCCCTATACAGTCCTTCAGTTTTGAGCCCCTCAGCAGCCCTGATGGACCGATCATGATCCAGAACCTTCGCATCACTGGCACCATCACAGCCAAAGAGCACCGCGGCACCGGATCACACCCCTACACCCTTTACACTATCAAAGTAAGAAGAATCTAGTTCTGCTTCTTCATCATTTTTTCATTATTCTGGGGATTTTGTCATGCAGTTGTTCCATGGTGGCATTAAGCTGATGTAACGTCCAAAGGTTACGACTGAAAGACCAATTCAAAGTTGCAAATTAAGAATTGTTAAACATGTGAAGTTAGCCTTTGGAGATTTCTGCACAAGCAGCACAAATGCTTTTATAAACAGCATCTCAGCACCAGGGTTCCTTGATTCACTTCCTACAGTATTGCTTTTAGGATATTCAATCGGCCAACATTTGTTGGTGGAAATGTACAAACAACACAGCAATGCACCAGCTTAGGCCTCGAAGAATAATTGTGATATATGCCCAAGGTCTGTATGATCCAATCATTTGTCCAAAAATCAAAAGATATTTACATTAGAAAAAAAGAAGAAGAGAAAAGCAACAAGTCCGCAAAATTCCTAAAATTATAATCAATTATCAAAACAGATCCCAATTAACTTTCTACCAATCAACTTACCAATAATCAGATTTATCAATTTTAATCATATTCCGTGTAGGAAATAACAAAGCAGAGACTGCCACCATTTATTGTTCATTTGGTTTTATATTATCTCCAATGTTTAACAGAAGGGAAAGAAAGGTTGTGTTCACTTTAAACTGTGTTTTCTCAGAGCTGAAATATCTTTCACTCTAAACTACAATTACATAATTGAGTCTCAAAGAATTTGAATACGAAATGTATCAAATGTAAAAAAAAGGATTTATAAAATATGAAAAAAGGAACCATTTTATGTTTGGATATTGATCCCATTTCTACATTTTAATATATTTTTATATTGCATTAAAATTGTGATATTGGATAACTATTGAATATTGGTACGTTTACTTAAACTCCTGACAGTAATTGTCAGGAGTTTAAATACACAAATCTCTTTCTTTTACCAAAACATGGGTTGACCCCAATATAATGTATGTGACAAGTCTTATACTCTGTTGTCTTGGTTTTCAGTATGAGACAGCAATGTGCTGTGAGAACCCAGAAGGGGTCCAGCCGGGCTCTGAGGAGGCTGAAGTCCCCCCCTCAGGCTGTGACAATCCATCGCCCATTCAGCAGGTGGCCTATCACATGGTCAATAGACGATACAGCGAGTTCCTCAACCTGCAAACACGGCTGGAAGAGAAAACTGAAGTACGGAAACTCATCAAAGGTAGGAAGGATCTGGATAGTTTTACGCAAAAAAAAAAATCTAACCATGGCTTACAAACAAACCTGGTTCAAATCTTGGCCGCTGCTGAAATTCAGTTTAATAAATGTTTGGTACTTGAGCTAGCATCCAGGATTGTTATCTTTCAGGTGTGAAAGGTCCAAAGAAAGTCTTTCCAGACATGCCGTTTGGAAACATGGACAGTGACAAGATAGAGGCCAGGAAAGGACTTCTGGAGACCTTTCTTAAGGTTGGAGGATTGGTATTTTATACCATTTGAATGTATTTTTACACCAAATGTACAATGTCATTTTGTTTTAAAGTTGTAGAAAAACATTCTATCATCTTTTTCAGCAACTTTGTTCCATCCCTGAAATCGCCAACAGTGTGGAGATGCAGGAGTTTCTGGCTCTCAATACAGACGCCAGGATTGCCTTTGTCAAGAAACCTTTTATTGTGTCACGCATAGACAAGGTTTGATCCTGAATAGATTTGTTATGGTACTTTTCTTCAAGTCATAAAGACCAATATACACATGATCATTTGTTTTAATGCTTTTTCATTGTTCATGGGTTTTGTGTGTTTAGATTGTGGTGAATGCCATCGTGGACACTCTGAAGACAGCGTTTCCTCGTTCTGAACCTCAGAGCCCGACAGAGGATAACGAGTCAGAGATGGATGGAGGGAAAATGAGTACAGACAAAAAGAGGTATGACTCCAGAGACTAACTTTTATCCACATTCCTAAAAATAACCCAGAAAATTTGGTCGGAGTGGCTCGAGTTTTTGCCGATTCGCCCCTGCTTTGCCTCTGCTCCATAAACTTTGAGTCAGCTTTTGATCCCGATACCAATGCTGCCAGTTCTGTCATGTGTTTTAAAAACAATATTATCATTTGACAGAACCTCAATATCTAATAAGTTGATGTTCTGATCCTGCAGAAAATATCACATGAACTTCCTCAGCAGATGGATTTTGCCCAGTTAAGGAAATGTTTAAATGTCTTATTGTTTTTATCAAGCACTTAAAGACTTCTTGTCCAGACAACAGAATTATGTTTTTAACCTCAAGTTCTGACCATTTCACTGGATGGGAAGCCTGTGAGGGGTCATGTCCCGCATGGAGGGGTCTAGGACGGGACTACTCAGCGTAAAACTTCCTCTGGCAGGTGAAAAGAAGCAGGGTTTTTCTTGAAGCAGAGTGTTTAGTTTAGTTTTTGTTTACTATTTGTTTATAGTGTCGTGGACAGTGACTGTCACAAAAAACAGTAAATGGAGCAGCTTTAGCAAACATTGCTAATTTCCAGCTGTTGTCCCCGGCCAGATGATAATAGACACCCTTAAAATCGCAATACTTCAACCGCATTTGTTATAAAAAAAGGCCAAGTAGATGCAGACGAACGGATAAAAGATAACAATAAAATGCAAACAACACATGCTACTACATACAGTGGGGCAACAAAGTATTTAGTCAGCCACCAATTGTGCAAGTTCTCCCACTTAAAAAGATGAGAGGCCTGTAATTTTCATCCTAGGTATACCTAGGACAAAATGAGATTTTTTTTTCCAGAAAATCACATTCTGATTTTTAAAGAATTTATTTGCAAATTATTTGCAAATTATGGTGGAAAATAAGTATTTGGTCAATAACAAAAGTTAATCTCAATACTTTGTTATATACCCTTTGTTGGCAATGACAGAGGTCAAACATTTTCTGTAAGTCTTCACAAGGTTTTCACACACTGTTGCTGGTATTTTGGCCCATTCCTCCATGCAGATCTCCTCTAGAGCAGTGATGTTTTGGGGCTGTCGCTGGGCAACACAGACTTTCAACTCCCTCCAAAGATTTTCTATGGGGTTGAGATCTGGAGACTGGCTAGGCCACTCCAGGACCTTGAAATGCTTCTTACGAAGCCACTCCTTCGTTGCCCGGGCGGTGTGTTTGGGATCATTGTCATGCTGAAAGACCCAGCCACGTTTCATCTTCAATGCCCTTGCTGATGGAAGGAGGTTGTCACTCAAAATCTCACGATACATGGCCCCATTCGTTCTTTCCTTTACACGGATCAGTCGTCCTGGTCCCTTTGCAGAAAAACAGCCCCAAAGCATGATGTTTCCACCCCCATGTTTCACAGTAGGTATGGTGTTCTTTGGATGCAACTCAGCATTCTTTCTCCTCCAAACACGTCTAGTTGAGTTTTTACCAAAAAGTTCTATTTTGGTTTCATCTGACCATATGACATTCTCCCAATCCTCTTCTGGATCATCTAAATGCTCTCTAGCAAACTTCAGACGGGCCTGGACATGTACTG